GACTAGGTCTGCTGACGTGGCGCTTTTTTTTTTTTAAACTTAATAAAAATATTTAATAATAAAATAATAAATTTTTCCAAATTTTATGGACGTTACAATAATTATTATTTTATTACATTTAGATATTATATATATATTGAAATGCATACATTTGGATGCATGCAAAATGTTGCACAAATTAAATGATAAGTAATTAATTTGTACGACTGGTTATTTCATGTCAAGTTTTGTCCTCTTGTATATGTTTTTTATTTTTATTTTAAAGTTTTTGAAATTAATTAATTAATAATAATTTAGATATATATTAATATATTATCGTTTGATAGGTACATCATGAACATCAAATAAGTTTACCTGAAACGAACACCTTAAAAGAGGAGGTAGTTAGATTAAGGTCGGCATACATGTAAGTTATTATATATATATATATATATATAAATTGATAGTTATTAAATTTAATTATTGTAATAATTTTATGAATTAATTAATTTGTGATTTACATTAATAAACTCACAAAATGAATTTGTATTTGCAGGAAAATGAATGGGAAGGAATTGGATGGATTGAGTTTCAAAGAACTGCAGCAATTAGAGCATCAATTAAGTCAAGGGTTACTATCTATTAAGGACAAAAAGGTACCATCATACATATATATATATATATATGTGTGTATATAATTCAAAATTAATAAATCAAATTACCTGTCAAATGGTTAATTAATTAAGGTTATGTTATTATTTTTTCCTTATAAAATTAAATCAATAGTTATAACAATAGAAGATCTATGAATTAAAGCCCATATATATATATATGCACATAAACTTATATGCATATATATATATATATAGGTAGAAATGGTGATTGAAATTCTTGTTTAAGCAGGAGCAAGTTATACTGGAGCAGCTTAAGAGATCAAGGTTACAGGTAAATTTCTAAATTATATTAAAAGGGAATAAGTTTCATTTACCAAATTTTATTATCTTCTTTAATTTATTTATCTGTTATATAATTATATATTCTCAGGAACAAAAGGCAATGTCAGAGAATGAAATATTACGCAAACAGGCAAGTGCTATATATGTATGTATGTGTGTGTATATATATATATATATGTATGTATGCTACATTTATGTTTATAATGTTATTAATATTATTGTATAAACAATGCAGATAGAGGAGCTTGAAAGAAAATCAAAGCCAAATAGCCAGGAATTAAATCAAGGTTGTTTGGTTAAGGAGATAAGAGCATTCTCATTAACAGTCTCCAAACCCGAATATGATATCTCCTCAGCCGATGATTATGATCGCGATGATCATTCCGACACCTGCTTGCATTTGGGGTAACGCCAATTTTAATTTATTATTATTATTTTAAGATTCAATGTCGAATTCTAAATGGGCAAAAGATTAATCCTTGTTTTTAATAATTAATTTGAAATTTTTATAATTAACAGTTGGAGATTATAAGAAACACAAATATTATATGGTGCAATCGGACTAAAATAATTATAATTAATTATTAATTGTAGTATATTAATCGATTTATCATTAATGTGTAACTTTTTGATCAGATTATCAACAAATTATCATCGGAAAAAGATCAAGGTAGATAAAATTGAGAGTGTAAGTACTCCTTGCAACAACTAGCATATACATATATATATATATATATATATGTATTACCCTATATTTGTGATTTTTGTTCTTCTGAATAATTTAATAGTGTGTATTTTCTAATAGTTAAACATCTATAACCTTTACTCACAGGGTATGAGTATAAATTCATACCACTTCCTTGAAACAATGGTGGTCGGTAATTTATAAGATTAAAATATTTTATAATTTAATTTATAATCCAAATTTTAAAATTAAATAATTAGTGTGAGTAGTTAAACAGCCCTCCTAGGGATTCATATGGCCGCATGTTTTTATCTGTGGATTATTTAATAATTATATAACAATTAGATTAATCTGCATGATATCAGTAAAACTACTAATTGTTTCCACGTGGAATAATTTGTGGCCATTCTATGAAGCATGATAATTATTTAAATTAATGATAATTATTATAATGATTAGTTTAGTAAAGCAATATATATATAATTTTGTAAAGAGGTGTTTAGGTTTCCAAAATTGATAGGGACAAATTGCAAAGTGGCCTCTCATCAACATAATTTTTGCATTGACTTTTGATAATCACGCACGCTTCAAATTCTTTAAATTAAAAAATTAATTAAGAAATATTAATGGAGCTATAAGTACGTAATTTCATTATTATTTAAATTAAACAATTAATTAATTAGTATGTTAATATTCAGTAAATATTGAATATTGAATAAATATAAATATTAAATAATTAGTAGTTTTTTTTTTTTTTTTTTATTGCTGTAAATGTAAGTACTGTTTGGGCATTGACTTTGGACTATTTTTTTCTGTCCCTTCCAACTATTTGGGTCTCCACGTTGTTTCAATTTTCAACCACTCTTGATAACAGTCACGACCTCATTGATTCTCATCCGACGGTCAGAATTAAATTAATAATATTTTTTAAGTAGAAGAATAATGTAAGTATAAGTTGGAA